ACGTTTTAATGATCGAGAAGTATAAAGTAGAATCTATTTAGTAAATCAGAAAAGAAACCGGAAAAAATCCATTTTTTCTATAATTCTGGCCCTCCTCTAGAATTTCTTAAACTGTGTGGCCCCCATTAAAAAAGTTTTCGCATCACTGATGTAACCGATGACATGTGAAAAATTGGCGCGGTCAATTGACAACACTTGGCAATTGATAGAAACGATAGGCGAAAATAACAAACGCAAGAGAGATTATTAAAACCGTTGATTGAATATTCGAACTTATACATTCAGATATTCAATGAACGCTAAAACTTCTTGGTTGGAATATCATTACTACAACAATTATCAAAAAGATATTGTTACATAATCTATTTATCATTAGTTTGCGAACTAATTGTACAAGATTTCATGTTTGTTTGATAAAATATTGCTTTCAAGATTCACTCTAACGATCAATCAAAAATTATCAAAAATAATACATAATTTTATATGTAACTTTACATTTACTATGTAATGTTCTAAATTCGAAGACAATGACAACAAAAAACACAATGCAGGAAGATATGTTTCGTTCTATTGGCAAAAGTCACAGTAATAACTAAAACATATTTTATACATAAAAACCTGCTCTCATGATTCCACAATGAAAACAAGTACAAATAAAAGGAGGATGCTTCTTATCTTGGACGTATTAATAGATATGTACAAGATTTATGTTGATATGTTGTTAGTAATTTTTATTTTGGTTTTGAGTTTGGGTATCAATATATTTCTCACAAATACTAAAATTACTATATTCATTTAATAGATAAATTGAGTATAATTTGTGAAATATATGTGACATAACTGATAGTGACGATATGTTTATTATAATTAAACTTAACTTCGTGTATATATTTCAAGATTATTTGTATATTAAGTATGATATGTTCAATTGCTGATATTCTGCTGACAATAAAGGCCAACTGGCGTTTGTTCGTCAAGTAGCCCGGAAGCTGAGAGCAGCTATTTTTTCTTACTTTTCCTATAATTTAAGTACTGTCCTACTGTATCCTGTTTAGCTTTAATTTATTCCTTTACGAACTTTGGTATTTAGAATATCTTACAAAATCTGGAAGTGACCATTATGAGATCTTAATTCGTTAAATTATTCTTCAAAATATAGTACCACAGGAAGAAGTTTATATAAACCTATAAAATATTTTGATTATGGTACCAAAAGTAGCCAAACTTCGTTTCTTTTAAAGAAATACGTAAAGGCAAAATGACCAGACCAGTGAAACGTGGAACAAAATAGAACGCTTCAAACATATTCATCTAGAACTACTAACTTTCATAATAGAAGCAGAGAAGGAGCGATTTCTGTGGCATATAAAATAGTCAAATATTGTGTATGACCGATTAAGACCATATGAGGAACAAATAGTTGGGGGATATCAATACGCAGGCAGAAGTCCACAATACATCAGATCTTCGTCTTGAGGCAAATCTTGGAAAAGACTAGTGAATTTAATATAGACACACATCATCTTTCCATTAATTTTGAAAGCGCCTATGATAGCATCCATCGAGAATTTCTGATCTATGCAATGAAAGAGTTTATTCCAACAAAACTCATTGATATAGTAAAAGGAACACTTAAAGTACAAAGCCAAATTCGAATTCAAAACGCACTATACAGTTCATGTTAGAACGATACAGTATGAAACAGATACAGTTCATGTTAGAACGGGCTTCGACAGGGAGATGCCCTATCCTATATTCTATTCAACATCACATTAGATAAAATAATTAGAGAGTTAAAAGTCAACACCAGAGGAACAATAATAACAGAAAGTGTACAAATATTTGCATTTGCAGATGATGTTGATATCCTAGCTAGAAGCGAAAGAGAGATGATTAACGAAATAAAAACCAAATCCATGACGGCCAGCAAATCGACAGGCCAAAGAAACCTACAGAATCTGACAATAGGAGACTATGACATCGAAAACGTGAAAACTTTTGCATATCTAGGTTCACTAGTTATCGCAGATAACAATATCAATGAAGAAGTTAAGAGAAGAATACGTATGGCTAATAAAACATAATGAACTAATTAAACATCTAAGATCTAACAACATCACAAGAAAAACCAAATGCAAAATATACAAAATTCTGATAAAACCGGCCCTTGTATATGGATCAGAGACATGGACACTGTCGAAAAGCGATGAGAACCTATTAGGTACGTTTGAACGAAAAATTCTTAGACACATATATAAGGGGGTGAAAGAAAATGACATATGGCGCAGAAGATATAATTTTGAACTATACACAGCATACAATGAACCCGAGGAAATAACATCCATAAAGATTGGACGTCTGCGCTGGATGGGCCATGTTAAACATATGTTGGAGACTGAAACACCAAAACATGTAATGAGGCAAACACAGTAGGGAGAAGGTCAAAGAGAAGACCCAAATTTAGATACATGGAACAAGTTTAACAAGATCTAAAAACACCTTAAAATTACCAACTGAACAAAGCAAAACAAAGCAAGGAACAGAACAGAAGGAAAATCATAGAACAAGCCAGGACCCAGATAGGGTTGTCGAGCTATTGATGATGATGAGAAGGGGCGACTTAGAGAAATGAATAAAATTGTCAAGTAGGCAGCAAAGAAAGACATAAGCAATTATACAGAAAATCTTGCTAAGATAATAAGACATGAGATAATTATATAATAGTACCAAAACACTAGCCAACAAAAGTAATGCCAGCCACTAACCAATTGTAAAAAGTAATAGAGGTGACGATATAACGTCGCCATAGTTTGTTGACGCACAATGTCAAGATACCAAAAAAGGGTTACAAAAGGTCTTAGGAAAACTGGAGAAGAATCACACTTCTTAATTCTTCTTCTTCTTCTTTTGGTATCATAACCCTGGATGGGTCTTTGCCTGTCTGGCTATCAGATCTCTCTTGTGCCCTTCTTCTCCATTGTCTTATGTTCATTGTTTTCAGGTCGTCTTCCACGTCATCCAACCATCTCGTTCTGGGCCTTCCTTTTTTTTCGCCTTCCTATGGGCCTCCATTGTAACATTTTCTTTGTTGTTTTTGCATCGTTTTGTCTCTGCACATGTCCCAGCCATGACAGTCTTTGACTTTTCACAAATCTTACAATGTCATAACCTTCATTTAACTCATTAACCTCGTCGTTTCTCCTGATTCTCCATGTGCCATCTTCCTCTTGTACCGGGACATATACTTTCCTCAGTATTTTTCTCTCGAATGTCCTGAGTTGGGCTTCATCTTTTTTCGTCATTACCCAAGTTTCACACCCATAGGTTACTACGGGTCTAATCTCAGTGTTCTGTAGATAGTCATTTTGGTTCTTATGTCTAATAATTTCGATGTCATCAATCTTTTATTAGCTTAGTATGTACGATTCCCGCTGGAAATACGTGCATTAATTTCGCTACTTACGGAGTTCTTCTGATTGATTTCGGTTCACACTTCTTAATACCATAAATAAATTAACAGCACTATTTATAAACGACCAATTGACAGAGATTGACATTGTAGAACCAATGTTAAGGAAGGAACAAGCCGGCTTTATACCAAACCGATCATGCATATACCAAATTAACACACTTAGAGTAATCGTAGAACAGCTGCAGGAATTTAATTCTCCGATCTTCATATGCTTTGTCAACTTCAAGAGAGCCTTCGACACTCACGCATATGACCATACGAAAAGCACTGCAGGAAATAGAAATACTGGAAAAAATAATAAAACTCATCAAAGAAATTTACAGTCATATCAAGTCTATACAACGGCATAACGTTTGACCCAATAGCTGTACTAAACGGAGTAAACAATGGCTGTGAATGGACTATTCCATATTATACTGGACTCCGTACTAACAAAGGTACGCTCTAATAGATAAATTTACTAAAAAAAAAACAAGAAAACCTATGGACAGTATTGGACGGAGGGAAAGAAATAGGAAAACCCTGGCTTGAAATCAAAGCACTAGCTAGAAATAAAGTTCGCTGAAGACACTTAGTGGAAGCTCTGCGTTCCTCTCAGGACTATATACAGTGGTGTTAAAAAGTCCTGCATCACCTAAGCGCCTTACAGTTTTTGGGGTTTTTTTTGTATATTTTCGCTAGTTTATTTTAAGTTTGTGCTTGTAATTAGCATTATTACAAACACAAACAACAAGAAAGGCCTCTAGCTATTTAATATCGGGACGCCACTTCGAAGGATCTTGTCCCTAGTCTTGCTTGATAAAGGAAAAAAGGCTCTTCTTTCCTAAACAAAGAAACACAAAAGGGGTTAGGAGACTTTTCTAAAATAAATAAACTTGAATTCAATCGACCCTCCACACCGGCTTACCAGTTTTGCGTTTTACCTCTCTACGGCTCTCGTAACCAAAAAAACCCAAAATTCCTGTTAAACATATCGAAAAACGACCTTGAATCAAACAACTTTTTAAAATTGTAGAACTAACATATACAAATAAATCTAACCATACTTTAACGTCCTAGTTATAACCGTAATTTGGAAACCTTTTCTTTTACCTTACAATGTAAATACCTTTTCTTTACCTTACAATGTAAATAGTATTGGAGAACATTTAGACTCGGACCAGTGACGTACTAGAAAATTTCTTATTCTTGAATATAAGATAGTTTTTTAAGGAATTTTCTACACACTCAAAGTTCATACTATTTTTTTATAAATAATTCTATAACTCTTGAGAATCAACAATATAAGGCTGCACACTATATGTGATTATTTCCTAAAAATGTTTCCTCACACGAGATTCATATGAATTTTTTTGTATATTCACGATAGTAGACGCCTATGGAACATTTATTTTGCAATCATTTATAAATCAATATTCAAGTTATTATGTGACTTTGCCAATACCAGCGACATTTTAAATTATGTGCAATTTTAATAAAAATATATATACTTATGTACATACTGGTCAGTGCCAGTAAAACACATTCATCATAGAACCATCACTACTCGCGAATTGTGGTGGTTGTGGTGGTTGGGATGATGGTGTGGACTGTCTGAATCACTATTCTGAACTACAGTTTCGGCTTTACTGTCCTCTCCATTCCATTTACACATTTCGGGATTACTTATATCCGCTAAACTTTTTAAAGCATCACAACCTTCTGAAGGTGGTACTGACGAAATGGAGTAATCCCCGTTGTCACCAGGAGATCTGTTCGTAGATCCTGGAGAGTTGTGTATATGATTAGATCCCCACATTAATACAGTTTGCCTCGGCATTTCTGATACTGATGTCACAGGGGAAAAATGCTGAGGCGTTACTGAGTTTTGACTCATGTGGTGATTGGGGCTTTCTGATTGGTGGATTATACTTGCGTCTGTTTTAATATCTTCCATTTTTGGTGTTATAAGACCGGTGTTAACCGGCGAAGAAGAATGGTTTCCCATTCCGTCAATTGATGAATGTTTGATTTTGTTGCATTCTTTGTGACTTATATCTAATTGTGTGCTCATGACTTGAATTGGCTGGATTATTCCCGAAGAAGGACTCACTGAGTAAGGCCAGGAGACATCTAAACATTTAGTGGAGTTAGGTACTACGTAGCTCCTGGAAGCATCCACGTATGTTGGTTGACCGACTTGTTGACATGAATATATTTTGTCGTCGACTGGCATGACAGTGGCTCTGTAGGTAGTGTGGTGACTAGGTGTTGAACTAGACGGATCATATGTTCTTGAAGGCATTTCAAGAAATCCGTTTCCGACGTAAGGACTAGCGGTAGGGGAATGGTGATACTCCGGGTAATACGTACTAAGTGGCCTATACTGATGAAATAAGTTTTCTGTAGTAGTCAAATAACGATTGTCCAGTGCTGTGGGCGTTGGATATAAACTGTGCTGAAAATTGGAGTGACTCATGTAAGACAGACTGTGCTCTGCAGTTGCCGAAGAGTACGGACTAGTGTACATGTTGTACGCAGCTGTACAACCATCGGAAGTGATGTAATCGACTGTAGGCATTGGACTAACTACAGCCGACGTAACACTGGAATTAGCAGGAGGAGTGACTTGTCCACTTGAACTGTGCGATAGTTTACGTTTTGTTCGGCAAGTAGACAGAAAGTCTCTTAGTTGCGTCTTGTACCTGCGGTTTACTCTAGATGGAGTCGTTGGTATGGGATGGGGGGTAACGTTTGGAGTATTGGATAGAAGCTGATCCGTCTCGGAGAAATAATTATTTGGAAGACCGGCATCTAGATAGCTCACTTTAAAGTCCATTGTACGTTTGCCTAGAAGATCACGCCCTTCTTCCTCCCTAGAAATAAACAATAATTTTGAGTACAATTTTTGTTTGTTAGTTACCTTTTTATTATTTAATACTTTAACAACCTATTTTGTAAATAGTATTAGTAGAAAGGGATATGATTCACTCCACTTTGATCTTTGACCTCTGACGTCATAAACTTCGTCTAAATTCGTCCTCACTCCACGCTTAAGCCGCTCCGGTCATGCCAACTGCTTAAAATTTGTTAAAACTGTTCAAGATCTGTTCGAGGCTTGATCAAAACCTAATCAAAACCTGTTCAAGAGCTGATCAAGACCTGTTCAAGACCTGATCAAAACCTGATCAAGACCTGTTTAAGACCTGATCAAAACCTGTTCGAGACCTGATCAGAACCTGTTCGAGACCTGATTCAGAGCTGTTCAGAGGTTAATCGAATACCTATATTTTACGATGAATAAAAATTTGAAAAGACAACTTATAACGAAACATAGAAACATATTCAGACAACTCAAACAAGGACAAATAATTCCAGAAGATTTATTCGTCGTAAAATGTAGGTATTCGATTAACCTCTGAATAGCTCTGGATTAGGTCTCTAACAGGTTCTGATCCGGTCTCGAACAGGTTTTGATCAGGTCTTAAACAGGTCTTGATCAGGTCTTGATCAGGTTTTGATCAGGTCTTGAACAGGTCTTGATCAGCTCTTGAACAGGTTTTGATTGGGTTTTGATTAAGTCTCGAACAGATCTTGAACATTTTTAACAAATTTTAAGCAGTTGGCATGACCGGAGCGGCTTAAGCGTGGAGTGAGGACGAATTTAGACCAAGTTTGTGACGTCAGAGGTCAAAGGTCAAAGTGAAGTGAACCATATCCCTTTCTACTAGTATTGCACGAGAGATGCAATCTAATATATAAAAGGAAATATTGAAGTAAAAAACACAAATAAGACATAAAATTCCACAAAGAAAACAATCCTTGAAGTAGTTTGTTCATATATCCAGAATACCTGATGAGCAGTAGCCCATAAGACTATTTCATTGGAGACCGCTAGAGGGAACAACATGGAGTATAGCACAGTAGGTAGAGTGGATTATTGAAAGATGGAAATGCTGCAAGATGTTGCTAATCTAAGTAATATTTCGCCTTAACTACATTAGTTGCAGCAACAGCTGCTGCTGTTAATTAATGCTTAAAAAAGAAAACTCTTAACATTTTTTCAACATACAGCTTTAGCTTTAGTAACATTCTCTATAGAGTGCTTCAGACATGCGATGAACTGTACGAAGGAAATAACCATGCAAAAAAACTGAGAATTTTGTTAAGAAAATAGCTTTGTTAATGGAGCAGAACTGACTTTTCTGTTGAATAGAAACACAAAAGATTACCATTACGAAATGGATAATCTACTCTTTGAAAATTGATTGAAACATAACCTAATTTCTAATTTGGCAGAAAAAACAGTTGTGATGGATAATGTTCTTTATTATAGCAAAAATTGGAGAGATGGTGCTTTGCCAACAAATATCGAAATAATTTGGTTAACATCCTGTGGAAGTATTAAAAGACGTCGAAAAACGAAAATGTTTGAAATTTAAATCCATTTTTTGCAAAGTCAAACTTTACAATATACATATAAGATTTAATGTTTATAGACCAAAATAGTTAAATAATTACAAATAAAACTTACATTAAGGGTCGATGTGTGCTTATGACGAAATCAGGTTTCGAATTTTTATACACTAGTCTCGAACTAGTCTGCAACCATTGCCATTGTCCGTCTTTGTTCTGAAATCTATAGGCTATCATACCAGAAGCTCCAGTTTTTAATACTAAAAATAAATTAAGATTGATTACATTATTTACATAAAATGAAATTGACTTTATACTCTCTAACTTCAAAAACATTGCTAAAGATCTTACTGTACTAAATTCTTTCAACACTGGTAGTGATCATCGATTAGTTAGGACGCGAATAGAAATAAATACGAAATTAGATAGAAGAAAATTATTAACACAGGATAAATTGCCAAACATAGAAGCACTCGAAATGAATTAAGAGGAATATCAAAGTGAACTAAAAAAGAAACTAGGACCTCTACCAGTATTCAACACGAAAGATATAAATGAAATAACACAAAAATTAACGAATGACATAACATCAACTGCAATAAAAATCTGTGATAAAAATAAAAATCCCAGAAAAACGAAACTGAAACAAACAACACTTAATTTAATGGAAGAAAGAAGAAGAACATCGAAAGAATTACCAGAGTATAAAGCTATCAACAATAAAGTTAAAAATAGCATAAGGTCAGACTTACGGGCTTATAAAACAAAACAAATATTGCAAACCATCGAAAACAATAGAAACATGAGAGTATTGAAATCAAATTTAACTAAAGGAAAATCAAAGATAACTAAAATCAAAAATCAACAGGGGAATACGGTGACCGAAAAAACTCAAATAATCAAGGAAATACAAACGTTCTATAAGAATCTTTATACATCTACTATACAGAACCCCGAAACAGACCACAGAACAATTCTAAACATCGGCTCGGAAACCCTCCCTAAAATAACCTCTTCGGAAATTAGACATGCAGCAAATGAAAAACAAAAAAGCTCCTGGCGAGGATCATATAACGTCTGAAATGTTAAAAATGGGCGGCAACATCGTTGTAGAAGTTGTGGAAGTCTTACTGAATAAGTGTCTAACAGAAAAAAGAATACCCAGCCTATGGGAAAACGCCGAAATAATACTTTTACACAAGAAAGGAGACACTACTAATATTGAAAACTACAGACCTATAAGTTTGTTGTCACACTTATACAAATTGTTAACAAGAATAATAACCAACCGCATAACACAAAAACTTGATTTATATCAACCGGTTGAACAGGCGGGATTTAGAAAAGGGTTTGGTACTAATGATCACTTACAAACCATCAGAACACTAGTAGAAAAAACCACAGAATATAATGTACCTTTACATATGGCATTTATCGACTTTCACAAGGCTTTCGATAGTATTGAGATGGTCCTTTTTGTCAGCCCTGAAGGATGCTCGAATAGACTCACGGTATACTACCCATTAAAAACATTTATGAACAGGCCACATTCCACATCAAAATCAATGAAGACGAAAAAACTGAAAAAATGCGTCTTGATAAAGGTATTAGACAAGGTGATACTATTTCACCAAAGCTTTTTAACTTAGCATTGGAAAATGTATTCAAACAGCTTGACTGGGAGGAAACAGGTCTAAACATTGATTGTGTACGTTTAAGTCATTTGAGGTTTGCGGATGACATAGTATTATTTAGTACAGATATCAAGGAACTGGAGCAAATGTTGAAGGAATTCAAATAAAATAGATCTCAAAATGAACCTTCAGAAAACAAAAATAATGAGTAATTTACAAACTAGTCTTGTTATTGACAACGTCAGTCTTGAAAATGTAGACCACTATATATATCTTGGACATACCATTAAAATCAGCAAAGAAAATCAAATAGCCGAAATAAAAAGACGCATACAACTGTCTTGGGGAGCTTTCGGCAAATTAAGCTTTATTTTGAAGAATAAAGATATACCAATGTGTCTAAAACGTAGAGTTTATGACAAATGTATCTTGCCTGTAACTACATATGGACTAGAGACCATGGCCTTCACAAAGAAAACCTTAGAGCAGCTCAGTACAACCCAAAGAGCAATGGAGAGGGCCATGCTAGGGATTAGTTTGAGAGACAGGATTCGAAATAACGTCATTCGTGAAAGAACAAAAATTACTGATGTCTCAGAACGTATTGCAAGGCTCAAGTGGCAATGGGTCGGACACGTTGCCCGAGATAATCCCGAAAAATGGACACACAGATCAACAAACTGGAGACCAAGAGAAAACAGGCGAGGAGTAGGCAGACCGCAGAAGAGGTGGACAGACGATATCAAACAAGTCGCGGGCAAGCAGTGGATGAGAATTGCCAAAAGTAGAAATCGATGGAAGCAAATGGAAGAGGCCTATGTCCAGCAGTGGACGAACACAGGCTGAAGAAGAAGACATTATTTACATAACATAGTTCCTAACAACAATTATTCAATTTTTTTGGTGTCAAGCTGTGGACCTTGTGGGTAAATCTAATTGCAAACCGATTTTTCGAAGGTTCCAGAAGTGCTTCTAGAACAAAACATTAAAATATTGTCTTATGAACTTGCTATGCCTGATAAGATATTTACCTGATACATGGGATAACTATAAAATGGCTACAAAGGACTGATTGACATTATGTAAGAAAAGACACGATCGGCTATCAATCAGGGAGCCTGAAGCTACGAGCCCCCCTAGACGTGCAATCAACTTTATTAAAACCAATGTTGCCATATTTTTTGATAATTTAAAATGCGTTTTGGAAAAGTACAAACGGAATGTCGATAAAAACGGTGTGCAAACAGTACAAACGACAAAAAAAAGTGTAGCAAAAAAAGAAGTACGCCAAGTAGGGAAAGGTACAGCAGAGGAGAGAGGGCAAATGGTCACTATGGTCTTGGCTGTCAGCGCTATACGAAATTCAGTTCCTCAGATGTTCGTTTATCCACGAGTGTTTTTTGATTCACAAAAACCATTTTATCAATAGCGGACCACCAGACTGCATCGTAACTTCCTATCAATGGAGATGGATAACATACAAATAATTTTTGAAGTTTATTAAACATTTTCAAGACCATGTGAGATCTACAAAAGACCATCCTTGTTTGTTAATTTTGAACAGCCATGAATCACATTTTTCTATCGAAGTGCTTAATTTTTGTAAAGAAAATGATATCGTCATGTTGTCCTTCTTTCCTCACACTTCTCATCATCAACAACCTCTTGACAAACCAGTCTACGGACCTTTAAAAAAAAAAATGATTTTGCTTCAGTTGATGATCTGATGATGAACAATGATGGAAATAAATCCTACGAATATCATTTCTGGATTTCAATCGCCACAGGAATCGTGCACTATAACAAAGACGTGTTTACTGATGCTGACTTCTTGTCAAGCTCAGTTACAGATAAAGAGATGCCTTCAAAACCGCGCTGTCGAAACTACCCCGGATAGGACTAGAAACGTCGAGAATATACAGTTGCAGGAGCATCAATCAATGTCTTCTACGAGTAAGAATCTTCAACAAATTCGTCCCTATCCAAAAGCTAGAGAGAAGAAAAATAATAAAAAAGGGAAGAAACCCTTTCTACATTAGTATCCATTTTCTTAACATTTATATACTTGTCTCAACCTGCTCCCAGCTAATATCAACTGACCCCCGTGTGGGGAACAGTGATACACTTTGTACCATTATACAAAAATATCAATCTTGTATCAATTGAAAAATATCACGATTTCCTGGAGCTAGGTACTTTTGTTATTGACTTTAACACACTTCATTAGAACATTTTAAATGTATATGCCGTTTTAATAATAAAATATTTAAAAATATTATAAATACTTACGTTCCTGATGGGCACTGGCTACATATGCTAAGTCGTCGTAATGTACCAAGTCATAACCTCCCATAGTGGCCAGTTCATTGTCCGAATAACCTAATAACATTTTACCTCTAAAAAAAAATAAATAAATAGAATACAATAAATTCTACATAAATTTAATATATATGTATTCATTGTTATGTTCTCTCATAGTTTTCCTAAATATAATGATATATTAGCACCATTAAGGAACACTATATTTAATCACAATACTTCTTAAACATATCCAAATTATTTACAAGTGTATACCGACGGCCCCATTTGATGATGGCAACAACTCTGAGTCCTCAAGAAATCAAATAGACTATATAATTGTAAATGAGCGTTTCCGAAATGTTGTCAAAAAAGTCACTACATTTCCTGGGGCAGATATTGGATATGATCATCAACCACTTGTAGCAGATATTAAACTAAGATTAAAACGAATTCAGTTTGTCAGATAATATTGAAGGTATAGTCGTGACCCATATCTCGATGCAAAGCTTCAATTAAACGAAGTCCAAGTTGAGAAAGTTCATCAAATGACATATTTGGCAACTGTGATAATGTACCAACTAGATCTAGGCACAGAAATAAAACGTAGAAAAGCAATGACTAAAGCTACTTTTATGAAAATGAAGTCATTTCTTTGCAATAATCATCTCAGTTTAGAACGAAGGCAAAAAAGGGTTAAGTGCTATGTTTGGTTCCTACTTTTGTATAGTGCAAAAGTGTGGACGCTAAAAGTATCGATCATGAATAAAACTGAAGCACTGGAAATGTGGGTTCACTGAAGATACCTTAGACAGCTGAAGATACCTTGGACAGCAAGGAAAACTAATGAAGAAGTACTAAGGAGCTTCAACAAAGATAGAGAACTGCTAAAAACTGTTAAACATCGAAAAATGTCTTATCTGGGACATATGGTAAGGGGAAGTCGATATAAAATATTACAACTAATCCTTAAAGGCAAAATTGAGGGACGTAGAGGTGTAGGAAGAAAACTAGTTTCTTGGTTGAGAAAGATTCGTGAATGGACTATAAAATGCGGGACAATTATTCCATATTACAGAAAATCGAGAACCCTTCGCAATGGTGATCGCCATTGTCGGATAATTAAGTATAGCTTATATAGAAAGCTTTAAAAGATATAAACGTCGTAGGAGCTGCAATTTACAGAATTGCTATATTCTGCAGAAGTGGTATCAATTCTAGAGGCTTTGATTTACATAAAATTATTAAACATTAAGCAGTTCATTGTTATTCTTTCGAATAACAAAAGCGCAGTAGAAAAACTCCCACATTTCCGGCCTAATGAAAACCTTGACTGTTTAATGATGAATTTAATACAACATATTGGAAATATAACTAGTAAAAATCAAACCGATCAAATTGGGTGGAATAAATTTCATTGTGGCATTGTGAATAATAAAAAAATCGATAAACTAGCTAAATTAGGTACTTCAAGAAAATATATATTAACCAACAAATGTACTTCTTCTTCTTCTAGTTCCATGACCGTTATCGATCGTTGGATATCATGTTGGCTACCATATTCGCTATCGTGACTTTATTGACAGCAGCTCTAAATAACGATGTAGTTGATTTTCCATACCATTGCCTTAGATTTTTCAGCCATGATGTTCTTCTTCTACCAGGACCACGATTACCTTGGATCTTTCCCTGAATGATCAGATGTAAAAGATCATATTTTTCAGGGTGTCTCATAATATGACCGAAGTATTCCAGCTTGCGTTTCTTTATTATATTGACCAGTTGTGTTGTTTGGTTCAGCCGTCTAAGGACCTCCTCATTTCTAACTCTGTCGACCCAGCTTATTTTCAGTAGTCGTCTGTATACCCACATCTCAAAGGCTGTCAAGCGTTTAAGCATAGCCTCAGTTAGGGGCAACAAATGTACACCAGAAAAAATGGTATCATATTTTAAATTTGTCCTACTGACTAGTTATATAAAAACCAATCAGTAACTAAAACAATAACTGATTTTCAAATATTAATCACCAAAAATGCCCAGGTACATAGTTTATGTCCAAGAATTAAAAATTTATAAATAACGATTTGTTGCTTAAACATGACGATATACACATAATGGTGAACCATACATAAAAGAACTCTAATCAATCATGGCATTTATTTACCTTTGGTCCATAGAAACTAGAGCCAAATCTAGTTTGTGTTTGCTTTTGAACATGACTTCTTTTTGTGGGATTTCTAACAGTGATGGCGGTCCAAAAGGAGTACAAATTGCAAAAAGTCCTAAAGGAGGCTCTTCTGACTTACGGTTCTGACCATGAAGCACTTTCACTCTCCCTCGGATGTCTAAACGCTAAAAAAGTATTTATAATTAAAACATTTTTACTAGATTAACAAAAATGGGGAAAGATGGGAACCCAAACTTTGTCTTTATCACAAAGTTTTAATCCAACGTATGCAAAATACATTTTCTTCACAAAGTTGTTTTTGCTGATAAAGTTGTTGTTTTAACACTGTCTATTCGTTACAAATAAAACTACTACTACTAGGTGTCAGATCTTTTTGTACTTTTACTACTTTATGTTACGAAATTATTATGTAAACAAAATTATACAATTTGTAATTTGTACAGCCACATAATATGATATTCTGTGTGTTTTAAAATGTCAAGTGCAAGATCTAATAGCTTAGTCAAGAAAAAATGAGCTAAATCTGCATTTGTATTTTGTGAAAAATTCTGACATCTCAAAAATTTCCTCCAGCACAAAAAATTACATCAGAATTAGTTAAAGTTATTCAAACAGCTTTTTGGTTGCACACCTGGATAACGAGTGGTAAGAATTTTTTTGTTGCATGTTGCCGACAAAGACTCTGTCAAAATATTTCCAGGCTCAGTGAATCGACTAAAAAATCATAACTACGTAAAGTAGTAACACTTTTTATCCAACTTTAGTTTAATCGATGGAATTACAATAAGATTATTCATAAATGTATTTTTATAGGTGCGGGTGTACTATCAATATTTCTATGTGTGTAGTAAAAATACAAAAATATCAATTACGCTTACCAAAAAACCGGAAGTATTGTCTAAGAGACATCGGAAGCGCACGGTAAAACTTCGTTCTAACAAATGGCAATTTTCTGGCAGAAGAACATCTTGAAGACCCATATTGGATGACTCGGGTGGAAGAAACGAATTCCACATCAGTTGTCGTTGTAATTCTTCTCTATCTTCTGAGTGGACCAATTCGTATACAGACTGGTGGACAATGTCCGACTAGAAATATCGATAAATTTGTTATTGTTATAAATATACAAAACTGTAAATATACTTAAGTTGTCCAGAAAGTAAAGAACGTTTTGGCATAAAAAATTAAAAACAAAAGATATGAACACAAAATTTTATTTAAAAAGTCTATTTTTGAAAGTAGTTGTTGAGGCATTAGTAGACAAACGCCTGAGCTAGTATATTACTTCCTTTCCACCCAAGAATTTCTTTATTTCCCGGAACAGATGATAATCTAAATGCACGAGGTTAAGGGTGAAGGGAGGGTGCTTGAAAATTTCCTTGCTGAGTTCTTGCGAATGCATGGGGCCGATCATTGTCATGAATTAGGAATACCTTTGTCGACAATATGCCACGTCGTTTATTCTGCATTGCATGTTTTAGTCTTTTTGGAGAGTTTCGCTTAAAAACCGAATCGCATTGCATACTTCAATGGGCGCGCCATTTGAAAGTGTAGACTGACAGAAGAAGCAGAGGTAGACGACCTACATGATAGGCAGACGATGTCAAAGCAATCGCTGGGAATAGGCTGCACGAAGCTCAAGACCGGGAGAACTAGAAGAAGTAAGGGAAGGCCAATGTTCAGCTTCATGATGATGATGATGATGAAGAGGACACAATAGGATTAAGCTCTTAGAATTTAAGTATACAGTACTGTGGCGTTAATCCGAACGGAATGGGAGAAACGGGTTGGTCGAATGATCGCATCGTTCCAATTACCTGACTTTTTTATTGGGAGACGAAAAACTGCAAAAACATAATGAACATGACTGAAAATGCTTTATGTACATTAATAAAATATTATATTATACAAATATAAATACAATATAATTATTAAATACATATTATCTACGAAGGAGGTCGCGTTTCGATTTATTTTGAGTCTCTTACCACTCCCTGACACGTGTTTCTGGGTCTACCCGTCATCAGAAGTAGTTTGTAAGAAGACTCAAACCAAATCAAAACGCACCGATTACTCTGGCAATTACAGGAAAATAACTACCAGAATATGCTACTAGAGACCTCTAGTGAGGAAAGATGAAGGTAAATACGTCGATAGCAATTAAAGTAAACTGTATACACAAGCTTAATCAAGCCATTTAGAGCGGTGCTGGGAATAATGATATTCCACTATGCACCAACAATTTACCCATATAAATTACCATCATTCTTGTACTCATTGCGTCGACTAAGGACGATACATATACGAAGAAGGTTGCGTTTCGATTTAATTTGAGTCTCTTACCACTCCCTGTCACGTGTTTTTGGGTCTACCCGTCATCAGAAGCAGTTTGTAAGGAGACTCAAACCAAATCAAAACGCACCGCCTACTCTGGCAATTACGGGAAAATAACTACCAAGTGTACAATGTTTCTGGCTCCTGGCTATTGTATGGCTCCTTAGTAGTCCACTACTTCTACACACAACATCATTTATCACGTTTTATCATACCTCCATTACTCCGAAAAAAAAGGAGTACCCCTTTGTTGAAGAAGCGAAAAGTTTGAACAAGGCTAAAACCCTGGATCCTGGTAAGAACATGGCAAAAATTTTATAATCTTCACTTCAGAGCAGTTATCCAGTAGCAACACTGCCTCCTGCGGAAGGTTCATACGTGCGATATGACAACGAACATCAGGGACGAATTCAGTTTTAAACCAATCCAAGAACAAGTCTCTTATCACCTATGGACTTTTTTGTGCATACAACAAGCAAACGAAGTTTTTGAGTCCCTGAAGCATTTGCACAAGGCATAAAGGTGATTCTTTCTTTTATAATTTTTCGACCAGGAGCGTTCTTTTTTTGAGATGACACCAATATGTGGTCTGGTAACATGAACCAAAATAACTCACTTTCATCTGCATTGTAAATTTGCTCAGATGTCAAATTGTTTTTAATCACATGTTCTTCAAATGCAGTTTGGAAGTGTTCGATGAAACTTTCGCATTACTCGAAAGTTTTTCACCAGAAATTTTGGGATGTCTAACTCCAAAACGTCGTTTGAAGTTGTCTAACCAACCCTTACATGCGCTAAAAGCTTGATGACTTGGTGACATTTCACGATGGAAATGACGGGCTTTTTCACACAAAATTTCAGCACTTACCGGAACATGCTTCCTCCGCTGTTGTAGGAACCACATGAACAACGTACTTTGTTTTTTTAATGATGAATATTTTTTTGTTCTTTTTAGTGTCCGTAATGGTAGATTTGCCAATACCTAACCGTTTTGGAATAAAACTGTAGCAAGTGTCTTGCTGTATCAACTTAAGAATTTTGGTCTTTTGTTCGATAGTCTAAGTCACGTGTTTAGGTGGAGCCATCGTGATACGAAAGAACTCAATCATACGTAGGTAGGCAAGGAAAGTAAAAACCGATGTTGGTCATGTTGATTCATGTCGATTCAATTGTGGGGACGAAGAGGAGAGTCGCGCGAGCCAGTTTGGACTACCGCGTTGTTCGGACGACCTTGGGTTCGGATTAACGCGATCGTACTGTAATTTAAATCAAAGTTTAAGTCAAAAAAGAACTAATAATTGGTCAACTGTGACCAGATTTTAGTGGTATAAACACAGCATAGGTGTTTAATAAACAAAAACCCCACTTCTAGCTCATGTTGCATATTGTTAATTCTACTTAGCTGTGGAATGTAAAATCTTCAACTATTACACCTTTAAAATGATTGCATTGCTCCTGTTGCCATGTTTTCCAAGTTAATTTTATGTTACGAATATAGGCCATGATGAACGGCATTTGGAGTGCAATTTTTAGACTCCCTTGCCGATTCATTCATCAAGCTGTTTGCTTCGCAAGTTTTAGGGAGCACGGTGGCTTATATTTGAATTCGATTTCGCCAGGTAGAAATCGTATCATTTCTCTTTTTGTTCTTAGATGGCGTAGTTACGTCCGTAAATAGTTATTAACTATAATCTACGACGGGAAAATATTTTGGTTTGATATGGAGTAGTAACTATACCGTACTGAGGAGATCTAAAGAGATCGAAATACGTATATGCGGCTTGTTGCTGCTCTGTATTAAATCAAAATCTAATACCGTCATTTTGTTGTGTTGTAATTTTATGTATTAAAACTTGGTTGTACTTTTCTGATACAGACCAACAACTCAGAAATATGTATTTACGATTGCCTTTTATCATTCACATGTTACTCGCAGTTCCCAGGTATGTTAAGATCAGCTGTCTTCTTGATCACTAATCTCTGAGTTTTCCTTGTCTCTTAGTCTGGTTATGGCGTTGTCATTTTCATATTTTGCCTTCTGGTCTTTTAATTTCAAATTATTGGTGGTTTATTTTATGATTGTTGTTTGTATTTTTAAGCAAAAAGGAAACCTTTTTGCTTAACAATATAGTTTTCAGATACTCACCTGATGAAATCCTAAATAACCTTCTATACTATGCGTTGCGAAGAAAACTTCTCCATCACAAGTTAAAATTATAAGGAATCCATTAAGTGCCTGAAATATAAAGGTAAATATCATTAAATGAATAAAGGTAACAAAAAGATCATATTGTTCAAATTTAAAGATTCCTAATTATATGTACAAAGAAATTCCTTCAATTCTTACTATACTGAACGGCAAAAAAGTGGCAACCCTAGAAATTTTCGATAATAAAAATTCATTGAAAGTTTTATGCACTGTTTCATATTGCGTCAAACCCATCTGAATATTATACATCCTATTATCCAGTTCACGATGGAGATGGAAACAGATTCATCCCTACCGTTTCTCGACGTTATCATAAAGAAAAACTAATCCCAAGGCCCAAGGTTTTTATTACTCTGTTTATCGAAAACCCACACATACCTATCGTTACTTGCATGCCAACTGTCACCATCCACCTTCACAAATTAATTCAGTCAATAATACCCTTATTAGAATAGAATAGAAATATGCTTTATTGTCACTGAAAATTTATTGAACAATTTTATGGACAAAGCTAAAAAATAAATCAGTCAAATAGTACAAAAAGTATAAAACAAAAACAAATATAGTAAAAAACAGAATAACACAATTTTAAATTAGTAAAATTATTGTATAACCTACATAATTTGTACAGACAACAACAAATGAGACAAATTGTAGCCACTGCTTGAGACACCCAAATGTAATTATAAACAATACTAATTTTATTTCTTTGTTATACATTAAGAAACTCGTCAACTGAATAATATGGTCTTTCTGAGAGACAGATTTTTGTCACCTTACTTACACTTAATGAAGGATGTTGCGGATTTAATTTCTCTTGGAAGGTGATTATAAAGTTTCTTTGCACGATATAGAATAGAATTCTTTACTAGCTGAGTGGACGGTATCGGCAAATAAACGTTACAATCCGAATTTCTAATGGAGTAGCCATGGTCAGGTCTATCGGGAAAAATGTTTAGATGCTTTCGAATCAAACAAACCGTTTCCAAAATAAATAAAGAGGAAAGCGTCAAAATTCCGTGATTTTTGAAGTAGGTCTTGCAATGAGTTGTTTGTTTGAGACGAAATAGATAACGGATTGCTCTTTTTTGCAACTTAAAAATAGTATCAAATTGGGCCGCTGTACTAGAACCCCAAAATGGAAGCCCATATCGAAGATGGGACTCGAACAATGAGAAATATGCCATTTTGGCAGAAGATAAATTTAGTTCCTTCGAAACAGATCTTATTGCAAAGCAAGCTGAGGCTAGTTTCTTTCTTAAGGAGTCAGTATGCAAGGAACATTTGAGATCACTGTCAATGAGAATACCTAGAAATTTCACGGAATTTACGATATTGATTTGGCTCTCATTCAAAAGCAAGGGTTGCATGACTCCTTTATAAGATAAAGCTACAGTCTTATCCACGTTAAAGCTAAGTAAGTTGGAGTCTGACCAAGCCTTGATTATAAGTAAATCAGCGGTTATAATTGAATGAAGCGTTGAAATATCAGAGCTGCTCCAAGTAATACTGGTATCATCAGCAAATAGAAAAATTTTCCCTTTAATTTTCAAGTAAGTGATGTCATTAATGAAAAGTAAAAAAAGAATGGGACCTAATACTGAACCTTGCGGTACTCCACACTCAATATCTTTACAACTATAGTCGGTGTCATTTATTCTAAACAATTGTTTCCTACCTACCAAGTAAGTTTTGAACCAGTTCAAAGACACACCCCGAATTCCATAGAAAGTTAATTTTTTTAATAGACTGTCGTGATTTACGCAGTCAAAGGCTTTGGAATAGTCGCAGAAAACGGTGGCGGAGGAGAGGTTACTGTTTAGTGATAGATATACATCATGTAACACAGAAAATATGGCATCACTAGTGCATTTATTAGACAAAAAGCCGAACTGATTTTGCGATAAAATATTATATTTAAGAAGAAAGGGCATAAGTCGAACTTTTATAAGTCTTTAAATAATTTTTGATAGTGCTGGTAACAAGGCAATAGGTCTATAGTTGCAGGCATCAGATTTTTCTCCACCTTTCTCCATTCCATGAGGAATGACGATGGCAGTCTTTAGGCAGTTAGGGAATGTACCTTTTTCAAGGGAATCATTTACTAGCGAGACCATGACCTCCAAAACATTATGCGGTAGATTTGAGAAAATTTTAATAGATAATCCATCTGTACTACAGGACGATGTGCTTTTTATACTACGAATTATTGAAATGAATTCCGTCTTATCAACTGGTCTTAAAAAGAAGGTATCAGCAATGTTTTTTGAATTAGAGAGATAGGAAACTGAATCTTGTTGTGGCGAAATAGTTGAGGTTATGTTTTTACTCACATTAACAAAGTAATCATTTAGATTTTCGGGGTTAGGAAAAGAAAAGGTTTGATTCGCTGTACTGGTTTTATTTCGAAAATCGTTTATTATTGACCAAGTTTCTTTTGAAATATTTTTGGAGCTTGTTAGGCGATTATGAAAGTAGGATTTTTTGGCTACTTTGAGTAGTTTTATATAGCATTTTCTGTACTTGTTGATATTATCAGAGATGGGGATACTGTCATTAAATTTTTTAATATATAGCAGAGAATGCATATTTTTCGCAGATATGTGAATGCCTTTGGTAATCCAAGGTTTGTTATGTTTTGGCCTGATGTTTAATAGAGGAAATGCTTTATTAAAAATAGATACAAGTCTATTTAGAAAATCATTAACATTACAGTCAATGTCCCCAGAAGAAAAACTCCAGTCAGAAGTCAAGCATGAATTATAGAATTTACGAAAGTTTTGAGTGGAAAAATCCTACCTAATCGTCGGGTTTTTGAGTGAGGTGTTTGTAAACTGCTAAACTTGGTATATACCGCTTCATGATCAGAAAGCCCCCCACTAATAACTGTAGAATGGACGTCAGCGGGTGGAAAATCGGGAACCACATAATCAATTGTCGAGGATGATGATTTTGAGATTCTTGTTGGAGAATTAACGTGCATTGTGAGACCATATGATTCAAAAATAGTTACCAAAGACAGTTGGGTCGCACAAACAGCAGCGTAGTCAATATTAAAATCACCACATAAAATTTTTCTGTTTTTAATGGGCAGAATATCTAACAAATTCAGCAGGCTCTGAAAAATAGTTCAGTATCAGAGCTAGGTGATCTGTAAACGCAAATAATGTATAGGTCAAATTTCTTATTATAAATCAAAGAAAATTCGAAGCAGTTTTCACCCAGCAATTAGTCATATTTTGAAACTGAAGAGAAATCATTGTTACTTGAAAGAATCAGAGTGCCACCATGAGCTGAAATTGAACGATCATACCTAGCAATTACATATTAGTATTGTCAGTAAACTTTAGGTCTAGATTACTGCTTACTCTAAATTCATTATTTTTTAAATAACTATAATACAATTTAAATTTAAAAGTAAGTACTTAAAACTAATCGTACCTGAAGAAACATTTCTCCATCTAGAGGAGTGTGGTCAAAGGCTGTGAGATCCCGCTGACGATGAAGCCCGTCATCTTTATCTTTGTGCATGACCACTGAAACAAAATATTGCTCAATTACATAATCGAACATTTTTTTATTGATATAGTAATATATAAAATATGCATATATGTAATTTTAATTTCTAAATTGCTTAAATTTGCAAAAACTAGCAAGTTTATTCGTCTTTGGCACTGAAATCCCCTGAAATTTAATTACCTGAAAATTATCTGAAATTTAATTTATAAAATATATAAATATTATTACATAGAGATCATAAAAAACTTAAAAAACAACAAAGCACCTGGTGAAAATAGTATCATTGTTGAGTTTCTAAAAGAAGGTGGCGAAATGATTGAAGAAAATATCGCTGAGTTAATACGCAAAGTGTGGATCAAAGAAAAATACCCAATCAGTGGAAAGCAGCAATCTTATGTCTAGTGCATAAAAAGGAGACGTTACAGAATGTAAAAATTACAGGGGAATAGCTCTACAAGATACAGTGTATAAGATTCTGGCCATATCAATTAGAAATAAAATTAAAACAAAAGTTGAAAATTGTCTAGGTGAATATCAAGCAGGTTTCAGAGCAAACAGATCGGTAACAGACAAAATTTTTACAATTAAACAAATTTTAGCTAGCTCATATGAATTCAACCTAACATTACACATGCTGTTTATTGATTTTAGACAGGCATATGATACTATAAAAAGAAATAAAGTATATGAAGCACTAGAATATTTTGAATTTCCACCAAAAATAGTAAGACTGACTAAATGCATACTCAATGATACTAAAAGTAAAGTCATGTTAGAAGGACGGGTTTCGGATAGCTTTATCACCAATAGAGGTCTGCGACAAAGTGACCCGTTATCAACAGATGTTTTCAATTTGATTTTAGAGAAGATTTTACGAGAATGTAACATTTACACTAGAGGCACAATATATCATCACAGGAATCAATGCGTAGCATATGCAGATAATGTTACCTTAATAACAAGGAGACCTGCAGAATTAAGAGAAATCTTTACTAGAATAAAGAGAATAGCCAGGGAACATGGTTTAGAAACAAACGAAGAAAAAATAAAATATATGGTGATGAGGGGAAACGAAAATCATCTAGGACAGTAATTTAAAATACAAAGCCCAAGTAAAGAATATAACTTTGAAGTTGTTAGCCAATTCGATTACTTGGGAGTAATACTAACAAATAGGAACGAAGAGAACCGAGACATCATAAAAAGAATGGCCAAAGTAGGGAGTAAGAGAATGGCCAAAGTAAGAGTACTGGGAGCCTGAGCAAGACACTGAGGTCGAAGATAATATCCAGAACAGCAAAAAAAACGAATATATACAACAGTTATCCGATTTACAGTACTCTATGCTAGCGAGACCTGGACACTAAATAAAGATATGGAAGTAAAATTAGATAGATGGGAACGAAAAATTCTTAGAAGGATATACGGAGGTGTAAAAGAGGGAAACATTTGACGAAGAAGAACGAATGAAGAAATAATGCAAATATATGGGCAACCAAAAATAACAAGACTCGCTAAAATGCAAAGATTAAGATGGCTCGGACATATAGCAAGAATGAAGGAAGGAAGAGTTCCCAATGAATTAATAAACACGGAGGCTGGTACAAAAAGAAAAAGAGGCCGCCCCCGAAGAAAATGGCTGGAGTCGGCAAAAGAAGATCGAAGTTGCTGCGGGTACAAGATTGGAAAAACTTAGCACAAGATAGAAAGAAATGGAAGAAAACCGTTGAAGCCTTGGGCCTTTGAGGCCTGTTGAGCTGAACTATATATATATATATATATATATATATATATATATATATATATATATATTATTACAACATTGATATGAAATGAAATTTTTACGGTGAATTTCAAATGAACTCAATTTTTCCGAGGTTTCCCATATTTCCCGCCCAGTAAAAACTATGTAGTTATTCATATTTCGACGAGCTACCTCGGATTAAAAAAAGAGGATTCTAGCTGCAATAGAAGCCGAAATAATCTAAATTTTTCCTACGTGTTTCAATTTGAAGTTCCGATCTCGAAAAATAAAACGGAGCTGAAACAACTATCCCCTCCACTTTCCTATGTCGATTTATCGAAAGTATTTTCGTTTCGAAGGGCTTGTAAGTTTCGAAAAATTGGATAAATTTCATAGTTATAAATTTCAATATAAAGTTTTGATATTCATTCAAAATTTGTGTAAATTTTACTTCTTAACGACAGCCTGTAGAGAATTTGGAATGAAATTGAATACAAAGAAGACAAAAAACGATGGTCATCAAACCAAAACAGAAGGGTGAAGGTCAATGTCGACGGAACAGATCTGGAAAGAGTAACAAGAACAACGTATCTTGGAAGTAATCTTGATGAAAGTTGGGACCACTCACTAGAGATAAGAATACGCCTGGAAAAGGCGCGTACAATGTTTTACAAAATGCAAAAAGTTCTATGCAACCGCCAGCTGGGCATCTCATTGAGAACTAGAATACTTAAGTGCTATGTTTTCTCCACCTTGCTCTATGGTGTTGAAGCCTGGACAATGACAGAAGCAACACAAAAAAGAATCCAAGCATTCGAACTCTGGTGTTACCGTAAAAATGCTCAGAACATCCTACATGAGCCATACGACAAATGCGGAAGTCTTGCGGAGGATGAATAAGGAAAGAGAGCTAATGCTTATAATAAAAGAACGGAAAACACAATATTTTGGTCACATCATAAGAAATCAAAAGTATGAACTGCTCCAACTTATAATCGAAGGCAAAGCCAATAGCAAAAGAAAACCAGGAAGAAGACGCAACTCTTGGCTTAAAAACCTACGGCAATGGACGAACATGACCTCCATAGAACTATTCAGGGCTGCTACAAATAAGATTAAATGGGCAAATGTAATGGCCAACGTCCTTAAGGATAAGGCACCGTAAGAAGAAGAAGAATGTTTATAAACAATGGAGATATGATTTTTTAAAAAATAGTCCCTAACTTCGTTCTTATTGGTCATAGAAGGTTTTTCTTTTTTAAATGTGAATTTTTTACCAGCTACCCAATGGTTGTACGTACAAGTCTGTAGCTTGAAAAATATAGAAGTTATTACAATGGTAAAAGTAAAAAAATATACCCCTTTTTCAAACGTTTATTTTGTAAATAATTTTGAAGAAAACGCAATATGCATTTAACTTTTGAGATAGTTTTAAAGAATCCTATGAAGTTTGCTAAATGTGTCTAGCATCATTAATAGAGCAAGTTCAATAGTTTAAATATTTAGCCTTAGGGGTAAATAAATTAAATAACTTTTAAACTATTTGACCGATCGGGGGGAAATTTCGCACAAATTTAAAAGAAGGTAATTCCCGATGTTCAAATGTGTTAATAACATTTTATTTTGTTAATAAAAAACTAATATAATTTCTAAATTAGTGCAAACAACTACTTTTTTGCAAATATCTCCGAAAATTATTTATCAATTTTAATTTAAAAAGCGGAAAAATAATTTTTTTTTTTTTTGTCTGTTTTGGCTTGGACAATTGTCATTCAGCCAGTCTCAATCAAGATAAGTTTATTAATGTAGTGTGTGTGTGTGTGTGTGTGTGTTTGTGTGTGTAGAGTAATTGTCTTGATACTTAGCAAAGTCGACGTCATTGTCTTTGCTAAGAGACGCTAATTGTATCCGAACGTCTGCGGTCCCTCCGGTGTGTACCGATCACACAAGGATAGAAATTATTTTCATTTATTAATTTTTTTAATAAACGAAAATTTCCACCCAGGTGGGATTCGAACTCACGACCTTTGGATTTAAAGGCAGGCGCTCTTACCACTGAGCCACAGAGGGGGTTAGCGGAAAAATAAAGATATTCTTGATGTGAAAAATGATATGAATATTGTTTATGTAAAATATAAGGGCAAAAACTTAAACAAAATAGACAAAAAAATCAAATTGTGACATTTGTGACCATAAATTATTGTTTAAAAAAAACCCAAGTACATACGACTACTTTTTCATCTATTCGTCATCTATACTCTGTTTTTTAATCAGGAGGAGTAAACCAAAAAGACAGATTCACACCCAAGAAAGTTACTAGAAAAGTCACCAAATACATCTTCTTTTTTTGTTGTATATCTCGGCCTTGCGGTTATCGAGTAATCAATATTGGACAACCTTACACGTCCATTCTAACCTAACTTTATGTTTTAATAATATTTTTTTTTAATTCACTTCCAATATATATTACAATTATTACAATAAAAAAGACGTTTTTCACATTTGGTCCCATGTATATATATTTAAATATCGGGTGATCCAGTTTTATAGATCTTTTGAGTCGATGGTACTTAATTTAGAGGATATTTTGATCCAGAGAGTCAATAATGTTACAGATCTAAGTATGGTTTTTCTCAGAAATTTGTCTTTTAATTTGCAAATAGATCTTATATGCAACAAAGCTATGCAAATGCATGTATCAAAAAGTTAGAGAGAGTTTAAAGATTTCTGAAATACTGTTCTTTTAAACTGCGTAGACCATATTCTTATTCTGGTGTGATTAATTTCTTGAATCTAGGTTTTTTTTCTTACCAGAAGAATTAACTTTGACTTTGATCATTATTTTTAAGCTTAATAATCCAATCTCCTGAATTGCTTCAGCCAGTTTGTTTAACATATTCCTTTTCATGCACTGCTTTATAATTGACTTTTTCATGTTTCATATCACAGAATAAATTATGGTTCAAATATAGGTGTGGTCCTACTTTTCATACATGGTAATCAGTTACCTCATTAGATAGATTTAACTTATGTATCAATATCTTAAGGATCTATTTGAAACACTAAAATGCAAAACAATAAATTTGTATAAATAAGTGTGTACTTGCAATTTCTTTAATGCTGGATTCTTGTTTAATTTTGACAGTGAGTTTGTCCCATTTGGTATCAATAAATAAAATTTACTAAAAAATACTGGATTTCTGTGAGATAATCAACTAATTCAATCTATTATGTTACATTCTAGTATAATTTTGCAGTTTTCTTGTGATGATCTACAACAGGAAGAACAAAACCAACTGTATCAATACAATCAAAGTAAAACACAACATTACTAATGTTCTTTTATTGTGATAAAAACAAAATGAAAATGCTTCTTAACAAGTATACACTAAATTTAAAAGATAGTTGCAGTTTTTATTATGATAATTAGATATAAATATCATACATTTATAAATTTATAAACACTAAACTCTATTTATTATAAATATCAGCTAGAAAAATATCACATACTATTATCGCTTATCACCAAGTCAAAGTTATTACAAAAACAACTTAAAGAGTCAGAAATCGATTTATATAATATTCTGTGCATAATATATATTCGGAATGAATGTAAAAATAAAAATTAATTGTGAAATTAAATTGGTGAGATTAATGAACAACTACACCATTTTGAATTTCTTGATTTATTTTTTCAGCAAAAACTGAATAAATTTCAGATATTTGAGCAAGAAAGTTTTGTTTTTGGTCAGCAGCCCAATGTATAAACTGTTCTTTGAATAATTTCCCCTAAAAAATAACTATGGTAAAACATTCATAATATAGACAATAAATCAATCATCCTATAAACAGTAAGATAAACAATTTATAGTTTTGCTATGTAATATTTGCTGCATTGAATCTGCATATGTAAAGTAAAAATATCCTTTTTTTTCCTTTTCTTCCCTTTCCATGTTCTTATATCTGTTGAACCAAAATACTTGACAACATTCCAGTAGTGTATACAAATAAAAACTTAAAACTTAATATTTAATAGTAACAATAATATACCTGATTATAAAAATGAAATCTATAAAATGTTTTAGTTAATTTTACTATATAATTGTAGCTAACCCATATTTACATACCGATATTTGTACTTACTTCAAATTGATTTGCTTCAAGAATTTATATAATAATAAACGACACATATTTTGGAAGATCTGAGCGGTTGTTAATTTCACTTAAAATTTTACCTAAAGTGAGCATTTCATTCTTTGAAAAAGAAGCTGTGTACTATCTGTCGTATAGATGTTTTAACTATTTTTAGGACATTTTACTGCTCCAGTCTGCTTATATTCTATAATTGTTCTAAATTCTATTGTTGTAAATAGTTGAATTCGCAACACCTAAAATTAGCACATTACTTTAGTAACTCTTGATTTTAATTATAACTATTCTGTAAAACTAACCTGCTGCCTGTTTTATTTTTACTACCGTGGCTGTTATTTTTATTCCAGAATTATCAATTTTCATGTTTGTACATGTTTATAGTACGTTATTTCTCATTTGATGATAAATGATCCAAATCTACTCGGCGTTTTTTTAAGGTTGAGAAGAACAATTACCACTAGTAACTTGGCATTGAATCCATATTGTTATCTTAATAACACTAATATGTCGCTAAATAGTTCTGAAAAGAACTGTTTTTTTTATATAAATGCAAACGAAAAATCTAACGATGTAAGAAATAACACAGAAAATACAAAAAATTGTCGATATAAATTTTGAATTTTAAAATTTCACAAATGTCATTAGTGTCAATATGTCATAATTTAGTGAAGTAAACTTGCCTGCGCTTCGACCAATTACAAACAAGCATTATGGCGCGGAAAATTTGAATTACTCCTCCTGGTTTAAAAACAGACCATAGTAAAACCCTATGTCTTAAAAACTTCAGATATCTGCGAAAAATTTTGCCGTAAATCGATGATTTTTGCATAACCAGACTGGGTTATCTGAACTGTCTGCGATTTATAACTTTATCATCGGCATTCTATTTTATACAGAATTTTTCAATTTGTTAAATAGTTTTTTCAAAATTTCAAAATTGATCTAGCGTGTTAGTAACTGTGTTCTTCGTACTGTATTCTTAGCTTTTTAATAAATGCGTAATGTTTCTATTTTATGACACAATTATTTAACCTAAAACCCTCATAACCTCACTTATACTTCATTACCTTCTGTTAATCGGGATATGTACTATTAAACTTGTTGCTCCAATTTTTATGAAAAGCCGTAATGCAAATATTTTCTTATTAGATTGTAGTGCACGAACGTTACCTGTGAAAATTGCTGCCATTTCTTCATGCTAATTAAAAATTAATGACTAATTAAAATATCCATTTAGGAGTACGTGTTGATCTACCGTTTTCCAGAGTCGGATTTAAGAGAAAGTCTCTGGAAGTGTGCACACTAAATAGAATTACATATGATATATTGTCTCAATCAATATAGATACTCATCTTAACTTGATTTTACTGAAAATTGTTAGAAGCAGACGAATATATTGATCATATTTTAAAATATAAGAAACCACACCGAAAATG